CACCTGTAGTTGCCTTTAACTCAAACTTCCTCAATTTCCTGAAGCCATAAGCTTCGGTTTCGATCTCGGGTTCGGGTTCGAGGGTTTGGGGTTAAGGGTTTAAATTTAGCGTTTAGGGTTTAGGGTTCGGGTTCTAGTTCGCGGACATCAATCTTCAACCCTCACAGCAGCACGGAGACCCCAACAGTGAAACCTATCCCAAAGGGCTCAAGTACCATTATAAAGTAGCTACTTAGTAGGTATTTGGGCCCCAACAGTACTATATAAGTATTACACAACCGCTTCAATACTAGACCCTAAACCCTTTGGGTATATAAAGTCCCAGAGCCCGGACCCCTAAACACGCCTAAACACCAAACACAGCCTAAATCCTATACCCCGGAAAATCCCTAAACCCTCAACCCTAAACCCTAAATCCTAAATCCCTAAACCCAAAACCCTAAACCCTAATTCCTAAATCCCTAAGCCCAAAACCCTAAAAACCCTAAACCCTGAGCCCGAAGGCAATGGTTCCTGGGTTCCTGGATCGTCGCGAGCCTCTTCGGGCCGAAGGCCCGCATGGCTCGGGGAGTTTTCCGCGCCTTCTATCGGCCCTAGAATTAGACCCTAAACCCTAAACCCTAAACCCTAAACCCTAAAAGACCAGAAACCCTAGGTTTCCGAGCCTTCTATCGGCCCTAGAAGACCGGAAACCCTAGGGTTTTTGGGTCTGAGGGTTGAGGGTTTAGGGCTTAGGGTTTAGGGTTTAGGGTTTAGGTTTAGCGTTTATAAGGGTTTAGGGTTGAGGGCTTATAGGGTTTAGGGTTTAGGGTGTAGGGTTGAGGGTTGAGGGTTTAGGGTTGGGGGTCTAGACCAGGGGATTGTCAGTTCGCACGACGGGCTGAAGCTTTAATCTTGGCCAACCTTGAACAAGCTTATCCCTGCGCCCTAAGGCCTGAACGCCCTAAATCCTAAACCCTAAACCCTAAGCCCTAAACCCTAAACCCTAATCAAAGCAGGTGGTCGCCACCTTTGCCAGCGGCAGCGTGTCACACCAGCGCTTGAACGCAGAGGACATCGGGCTCGAAAAGTGCAGGCCTTTGCAAGACCAACACCCCCCAACTACCCTCTGTTCTACCCTAAATACCCACTATTAAGGACCATAAGGGCTCTGTTGAAGGGTGCTGGGAGGTCTGGAACCCTGAGCCGTAGTCCCTAAACCTTAAACCCTAAACCGGGCTGCAGTCCAAAGGGGGCGCATTGCATTTTCGTTTTAAAGAAAACCCTAAGCCGTAGCCTATTATAAGCCCTAAACCCAAAGCACACCACCCTAAAACCGAATCCCAAAGCCACCGGCTCAGAAGCCCCCTGTCTTTGCGCAGCTCCTCCTCCCACTTTAGTTTACTTCCTTGAAGTGAGCCTTTAAACACGAGCCCAAGCTGATAGGGAGAGTACTAGTTCCTGAATCTTCGAGCTGTAGAAATGATACCAGGAACGGTTTAGGGGTTTAGGGTTTTAGGGTTTAGGGGTGGAAATGATACCAGGAACGGTTTAGGGGTTAGGGTTTTAGGGTCTAGGGGTTGAGATGATACCAGGAAGTATATAGGTTCTAGTTGTGATATAGTGTCACCCCAGCAAAAAGGTCTTACACGTCAGAAACGCGGTAGTTGCCTGATTCTGGTCATACTCTCTCCACGTCCCACGGATTCAGAGAAAACTTCCGGGGAATATCCATGACATGCTTGCATACGCTCACACATATGCCAATAGTTCCTTCTCGCTTGCTTTCATTTCCAGACATACAATGTGTATGTATGTATGTATGTATATATATATATATATATTCACATGCACATATACATATATACATACATATGTGTATACATATATGGTCACATATATATATATATAGATATGTGCATATTACATGCTTGCATAATTAGCTAATAAGTAATCAACAAACAGTCACACATAAATTCATGAATGAACAAATAGACATATGAGTGCCTTATGCAGGAGGTAGTAGTCCGATACTTCTCTCCGAACCGTTTTGTTCAGGACTCGATGTGCTATCACATTTCCCGCGGCCTTCAGCAGTGGCACCAGCAGGCGCTGGATGCCACAGGGTATGAAACCTGGGTCATGAGCTATGCGATGTTTTAGGGTAGCTTTTATGAATTTATGGCGTGAGCTATACGACGTTTTAGGGTAGCTTTTTTGAACTTATGGCAAGAGATTGCCGGCAAAATCCTATTCTAAATACTTATTACCGCCCCTAGATCAGCGGCTGCTGCAAGATCAGCGGTGTGGGATCCCTGAACCTGGCGGCAGAATCCCTTATGTGGAGCTTGTCATGGTCGAGCGTTCGAATATGCAAGCTTCAGGCTTTAGGGCTTCGGGTTTAGGGTTTAGGGTTTAGGGTTTAGGGCTTAGGATTTAGGGTAAAGTCTTGCATCTAAGGTTAGAAGTATGGGCCCCGAATCTGGACCCTAGGGGCCCATAAGGGTACATATAGGGTACATAGTAGGTATATAAGCATCCCAGGGTTAAGGGCCCATACTAGGGGCCCATGGGTTCAACCTTAGATTGCAGAAGTTACGACTATATCTGACCCGACGGATGCTCTGGCACGAGGTGTTTAGGTGTGTGCAATCTGAGGCTTCGTCCCAAAACCCAAAACTTAGGTAACTCCCACTCAAAACCCGAGCCACCGCCTTCCTAGAACCCCGTAGACAGGAAGCAAAGGCCTCGTAAACCCTAAAGCCTAAAACCCTAAAGCCCTACCTAAATTGCAAATGTCATGGTCATGAATCAGCCTACCCAAAAACACATTATAGACTCTCACCTGACTAAGTACACCGCCACATTAAGCCCCTCAACCCTTAGGGATTCGAAGGCTGGAGACAACGACGATTTCAGCCTGAAGGAGTTTGTCGTGCAACAGTTCCGCTGCTGACCTACTCTGCTTTTCTTGCTGTTCCTTTAAGATGGGTTCATAGGGTTTATAGTTTAGGGTCTGCGTTTAGTGTTTTGGGGTGTAGGGTTGAGTTTAGGGATCATTAAACTGGCAGCCTCGATTTAGGGCTGTGGAGTTACGTGGAAGTGAGTTTTTCTGGGGTGAGGGAAATCTGTCTTGAAACAATAGAGTCGATGCCCGGCGAAGATGGAAAACTGCAGGGTCAGGGGGTACCCTCAGCCCCATTCCCTTAAACACCCTAAATCCTGTACCCATAAATGCCCATAAACCCTATACTGTCATAAACCCTAAACTTTCCTAAACGCTACAAGCCCTAAACCCGCAAAGGGGTTTGTAGCTTCCATGCAGACAGTCCAACATAGCACAGCTGAGGTATCTTGCGCAGAGCAAGCCGCTTTCGAATGACAACTGCGAGTACCTGGGTAAGCCATGCAACCTGGTGTCAATGGGCAAACGCTTATGCGCAGGCAACTCTAGCTTGCGAGCCGCGGTCCAACATGTGGGCACACAACCAGTCTAATGAGGCAGATACCTCCAAAGGTGCACGTACCTCCATGCAGGTGCAGTCATGCATACAAAGATGAACGGGCGGACGGACCGAGGGACGGATGGATGCGGTGTGTGTGTGTGTATGATATGTCATTCATACGCAGACAGATAGATGTGTATAGATCGAAAACAGATGGATGTAAAACGGCATGTCCAGACTATTGTGCATATACATGTTGACATGTGCATTTGCATTGGCTCGTGCATGCATGCATTCAGGAGATCAAAGTCATTATGTGTCAGGCAAAAGCTACATGCCAGATGCATATTTGCATAAACCCTTACTCGTCCAACCATCTCTTCCTTCACTGCACATCTGTTCCTTCCCTCGTAAGCTCACATACTATATGCGACACGTATATTTGCAGAGATGGCTACATGGGTAACTGATCGATAAATCTCTCCATCTCTCTCTCTCTCTCTGTCTCTGTTCCGTCGCACTGTGTTGTAGGAGGGAAGCTGAAAGGCAATTGGTCTGCCTTCGTCGGCATCATTGGCGAATTTCTTGCCGGGCTCCTCCGCAGCACTCCTGGGAGGGTGATTAGTTGATGCTGGGCAGCCCTAAACCCTAGACCCTAAAGGTGAGTGCGTCCATTTGCGAGCAGTTCACTGGTTGTATCAGACTTTTGCGGTTTGGTACCCACAGCACCCCTTGGCTCGTAGGGGCGATAGGTTGCGCTTCCGTGGTGTCGGTGATGCAAGCAGTAGGGTCCCACAGCCCTTCACCCTGATAAGCTGATCAGTATGAGGGTTTCCGAAAATAAGGGGCCCTAATATAGGACCCTCAATAGTAGGATCCTTATTTTAAGGACCCCCAAATAAGGTACCCCATTTCAACACTTCGACTGATCAACTCGAGAATGGCATGGCTCCGCTTCACCTAAAACCTCGAGATTTGAAATCCGATTCCACTACGCTGTGAAGGTCAACCCCTCCAAATCCTAAACCAGAATTCCTAGGCCCTAGGCCCTAAATACTGGGTTTAGGGTTTAGGGTTTAGGTAAACAACCGAACCCTAAATCCCTAATCACTATTGCTCATCGTCCTTTCGACGGGCGGAGCCAGGGTCGCTTGTAGATGCCTAAGTTTCGTGTGCACGAAACACTAAGCCCGAAACTCGGAATACCAAGCGTTCAGGGTTAGGGTTCAGGTTTAAGGACTTTTGGGAATGGGAGCCGGGGTTTAGGGTTGGGGGCTTAAGGGCTTCAAGACATAGCATTCGACACAGTTGCACTCGAGCTTTTCCCTTCTGCTGCCGGCAGTGAAGAACGAAGAACCGTACCCTAAGGGTCCATGTATCCATATGAATCTATTGTGACCCCAAAGTACCCAAATAGGGACTACGTTAAGGCCTAAGTATGTACTTTTGGGGAACGTGGACCCTCAGGGGTACTTCTTCCTGACCTCAGATCGAGCCCTGAGATGTCGTTGACTCTATGGGCGTGTTTCCAGTAGATTCTGTTTTGAGCTCCCACTGTGCTATATCGACTTGCACAATACAATGTGTATCAAGACACCCAAGTATATATATATATAGATATGTATAATGACATGCCTGCCTATGTACACATATGCATACTTAGTGCATATGGATATAGATGCAGATATAGACTTGGTATGTACATACGTATAAATACATATATATATATATATATATATGTATAGGTACATACATAGTATGTGTTTTTGTGTGTATATTCTTGCGTGTATGCATATGTGTGTATATATACACACTCACTAGCCTGTTCGCGAATACGCATGTGCTTATACGAAGCCACATTACATATGCCTGTGCATATTCAAAAGACATAAGCACATTTTACAAGCACAAGTACACGTACAAACGCGCGTATGCACATGCATACACACGTGCATGCATGCCTGCATACACTTATATGTTGCAGATTCCCACCTTAAATTCGTTTATCCCGAAGATAATGACTTAAACTGGGGCTCATGGAAGGAAGCAAGAAAGAGCCCTGAACCCCAAACCTAAGCCATACCGTCAGCCCTTAAGCCATACGCGGAACCGCAAATCCGCAAATCCTGAACACCCACAGCCCCGAGCCCGAAGCTTTTCAACCTTAAACCCTAAACCCTAA